TCAGTAGCTCCTCTTCCAGGGGAATAATGCATTAGTTCCTATAACCCATTGCTTTTCCTCACCACGTCCAGAAACTCAAACTTTCAGGAAGTTCTCTGCCCCAACTTCTTTGTGAAGGTCAGAAGTGGATGTTTGCAAGTTTGGATGCATTCAATTGCAAAGGGAGAAAAACACAACTATAGTGACATAACCAATTACAGATTAGTCATATTATGTGTTTGTGGGTGTGTGTTGAGAACACTCTTGTTTCTATAGCCAAAAGAAGTAAAAACAGTGGGAATTATGTTGATGGCTAATCGTGACTGTCATACTCTCAAACCAGGAACTTTGGAACCTGTGATATTATCATATTAACTCATCAAAATCATGGTGAACAGGGTACCTCAAAAACTGCAGTCTACCAGCCACCATTTTTCTCTCAGTTCAGGGGTCACTGGTCATTTCTGTCTGGCTTAAAGCAGAGGCCTGGGCTGCACTTAGCATAACAGAGACAGTGACCATATGCAGTGGAAATGAGATCCAGCCACCCAATGGGGACACACACACCTAACAGTGACTTGAGTATTGTACTGCTAGCTCTGGAGCTTGTTCTCTCTCAGGAGGGGTATTTCTTTAGGTAAGAATGAGTGGGAACACCCCAGCCCAGGAACAGCTGAAGGCAGGGCTGTGATATGTTCTGATGTCCATCCCTGTGTCCTTTGAACAACGTGGGCATTTGGAACATAACTAGAGCTCAGTTCATATTTCAATTGTACAAATAGTGAAAGCAGGCCATGTTAGCTAATTTTTGTGTCACTGTGGCCTGATATGAGAAACAAATGTTCAGAAGGAAATAGTTATTTTAGTTTGTGATTTCAAAAGGTTTTAGTCCATCATAGGAAGTCATGGTGGAGTACTTCAGTTTATGGCAATGGAGGCCTGTGGCAGAGGCTGCTCATGTCACAGCCATTAGGAAAGAGAGATAGCAATGCCATTCAGGTTTAGCCTTTCAGGAACCCACAGCTGGCAGTGAGACACTTCTGCTAGGTAGGCTCAAGCACCCAAAGTTGGCAGGCTCTTTTAAAATAGTGGCACTAGCAAAAGAGGGGGGAGTTGAAGACATGAAACATGGGATGCATGTTAGAATCAACCATGACATAGGTGAACCCCAAGGCCCCTAGCATTGTTGGAAAACCTAGCTGGGTAGTTATTTGGGGAGCCTTCTGTCATTTTTACTGACTTACCAGATGAGCTATGAATTGCCACCTGGGCCTATTGAATGGAAGAGGTTTAGCAAGGATTGTGTGGGGTAGTGGGCTGTGAGAGGCAGCTGGGTACCTGGTCCAGTACAGGCTTTGAACCCCGGAGACCCTCAGGGATGGTAGGAGTTCAGTGAGATTTTATCTATGAGGTTTTAAGGTCTTTCCTTTTGTGGCTTGGAGAAGGGGAAGGAGATATACCCTCTCTGGTTGGATGGGATTTGGTGGAGTAAGGGTAGAGGCAGGTGGAAGTTCCTTTGTTATTTTAATGGAGTCTTGCCTTTGGGTGGGAGAGGGAGGGGCAGGAGGAGCAGAAGGTTTGTTTCCTCCTAGGTGTAAGGGGGGGGGGAGGGATGGGTAGATAGATTTTATTTCTCTTATTAGTTGGGTAAGGGCTGTGAGATCTGAAATAGGGTGGTTTTTAGGACCTTGATCTTTGGGTTCCTTTGACTGAGGGGCGTAAGGAACTGTGTTGCTATCTGCCTGCCCTATTTTAGATGGCCCTATACATTGCCAAATTGTAGCTAAGACTGGCAAAAAATCACGAGCCCAATGCCCCGCAGATGTGTGATGAAGGCCTGTGGCAATCTGCAGTTCTTTCAGGAATGCATCCTTAAAGCAGTATGGATGCCCCCCCCCCCCAACAACACAGCCAGTCTCTCTGCATCTGTGATCTTTAGATTGGTCTTGATATCTAAGTCTTCAAACCAGGTCTTTCCTTCCCATGGGATATAAACAAATGTGATTCAGTGACACAGGTTGCTCTGGGCTTTACACTCCAGTCTCTAGAGTTTTGCTCACCATCCTAGACAGAGCCTTTTGAGTCAGCTTCATTTACAGTGTAGAATCATTCTAGTGACTGGCCATCCCAAACTTTCTGGAGGGCAGCCTGAGTAGAAGCAGTCGTTCACCACCCCACAGCTGCAGGCTGTCCTGGGTGGAGCTGTTTAAATATTGCCCAGCGCCCCACTTCTTCCCTCAGATTTAGCCTAGCCAGCCAGGCTGGTGCTGCTTCCAAAATAATATTTTCCATGGGGTCATCAGACAGACATGTTGGTGCCTTCTAGGATTAACATTGAAACCAGTCCTTGAAAGTAGGGCACTTCTACTGATTTTCCTTATTGCTGTGGGCTAATGGGGCCCAACAGCCCTGCATTCAAATGTTAGTGTCTCCAAATAGGAAAAGTGACCAGCTGCTACTCATACGGGATGATGGAAAAGGCTGATGATTAAAATAATAATACTTGATAGCTAGATTGCTTCCTGGGCAGGGCTGGGTCACAGGGAGGTTAGCAGGTGTCTTGGGGGCTCACTTTAGGACAGTGCCTCTTTAGTCCAGCCCAGTTCCCAAAGCAGCCCTGTAAGTGTATGTTGGGGATGAGTCTCCCCTTCCAAGATGTTTGCACCATGGTAGACTTAATGTCCTCTCTTTGGTGGGTGAGTCCTGCATCCAGCACTAGAATCAAGCACATGAAAACCCAGAGCTAATGTTCATTCTGAGCCACTCAGAGAGACCTAAAGAGTCCCCGTGCCTTTCAACTTCATTTTAAGGTTGAAGACTTGTGAAGACTTCAAGGTAAGATATTTGTACAGTGTAGTGTAATAAGGATTTTTAGTTAGATGGCTTACTCCATGATTTTTGTCTGAAGTATTTTGCTTCTTCTAGTCTTTAAATTCATAGAACTTGCTGCTGAAGCACCATAAAGTGGCTCAAGTGGCACTTGTCTGGTGTCCCCACCCTCTGGCACACAATTGTCATTAGATGAGTGGCCCACTGACCTAGCCTTTTCATATATGTGTTCATACCTCCATAAATTGGTTTTCCTCAGTCTTTATCTTCTTTGGTTCTCTTATCTGTTGGGGTCAATCACATTGCTCCTTAAAAATGATTAGTTCCTTGATAATTTTGTACAAAATATTTTGATAATATTCACAACCAGCCTGAACTCCTACCAGATCCACCAGCCTCCACTACTAACCCAAATTTGTGTGCTCTTAAAAAAAGCAAAGCAAAGCAAAACCAAACCAAACAAAATCAAGCCAAAAAATAAGTCCAATTTGTGCTGCCCATACGTTCTTGGTATATAGCCTTCCACTGGAAAGAGGACTACTTCCCAGGTGACACCTTCTTAAAGAGAGCTGACTCTTTCTTTCCCAGAAGCTATCAAATTCCACTAGCTCCTCAGCAAGAGGCAGGACTTTGTGCTTGTCTCTCCTCTCCATGCTGAGGATTTGGTCTGGCTTGAACTTGTGCAGGTTTTGTGCCTGTTGCCACATCTGCTCTGGGTTCATATAGTTAGCTGCCCTGCTGTGTCTAGATGTAAACACTGTTTACATGGAATTGTCCAGCATCCCTGACCCTTAAAATATTTCTTTTCTTTTGCCATGATCCCTGAGCCTTGGGAAGAGGGTATGTGATCTAGTTTTTCCATTTAGGGCTGAGGACTTCACAATTTCATCTCTGTATGTTAACCAGTTGAGGGACTGTGTTAATTGTTCTTTACTACAAATATAACAGCTGAATTAATCTATGGGTATTATTGTAAGTCATTGGGAATCTTATTTAACACTATATTTGTTTAACAGAATAATAGTAGTAGGTTTTTCTCTAGTGCCTATGACCTGTTTGTTCATAAGTTCTTGGACAACTATTGTGTCAAGTATGAGTTTCATCTTGTGGAGTAGAATTAAATCCAATTAGAAAGCACTTGGCTTCTCCATAAGGTTCATGCCACTATTGTATTACTGGACATGTCTTGCTAACACAGTTATTATTGTAGTTTATAGGGTCAACAGCTTGGCAAGATTTGTCTCCATTTTTATTCTTGATAGTATGTCTGTCACTTTCCAGCACTATGAAAGGTAGCCAGTAGAAATGAAGTTTCTAGATCAGCCCCAGCTTGATATCTATGTTCTATAACTCAAGTGTCTTTAGCAATAGGGTGTTCAAGTTTGGGGGGAATAAGAAAAACATTGACATTAGCATGTAGTGTTTAGGGTATCTATGTAACTCCATTGGCCAACAACTCCCAAAGAGACAACCCATTCTGGCACCAGGCTATTTTATCTTTTAGCCTGTAGTGTAGGACTTAAACATTGCCATTTTTTGCTAGCATGACTCTGTTTTATCTATCTATCTATCTATCTATCTATCTATCTATCTATCTATCCTAGATATATACATATATCTAATATCTATCTATCTATCTTTCTAACTGTACATACACATAATACACACACATTTCCATGTGACTTTTTGAAAGGCCTTATTCTTATCTCTCCCTGTATTCCCTCCTCCTTTACCCTACCCTTCCAACCTCAATGCCAATGCAATCCCTCCTGTTTCGTTAATCATCTTTAAGCCTTTCCATCATTGATCATTTCTGCATTTATTGTTCCTTTTGGAGGAACTTCTGGGTAGGCAAGCAGGTGCACCTGTGGCCTGAGTCTCCTAGCACTATTCTGGTGTCCCTGACCCTGGATTCTGTGTTGCTAATATTGATTTTCATGTGGCTCCCATTGAGGTATAAGGTTGTGAGCTCAGTGGAGGTATGGGCAATGCCATGATCATGTCTTGCTGTAGTATGATATTTAGAGTCAATGCTTAATAATGACATAAGTGCACAAAAGAATAGGGGGTGCCCAGCACTCTCTTTGTGTCCCTCTGTTCTGTAGATAGAATGGGACTTCTTGCTGTCATAGTCCACAGGGATATAGTAGGTGTGTTTTCTTATCTGTTTGTTTCCTTTTGCTCTTTTTCAGATGTACTCTGCCCTAGTGTCCGGGTAGAAGGAGATCGGTTTAAACACACCAATGGAGGAACCAAGGAAATCACAGGTAAGAGAGAATACACAGGGTTGCTTTCATGTGCAGCTTACAGACCTAAGGGTGGCCTCCCTGACTCGTTTATCATTCTCATCTGTCACCAGTGTCCTGGTGAAATGGTTTGAACCATGCAGGTGACAATGATACCCCAACAGTGAGGGACATCTGTATGCAGTGTTCCCTTTGGCCGGATTGGGACCATCTTAAGAGTTTCAGTCCAGTGAGTGTAGCAGGAGTGAATAAGTCAGCAAATAATGACAAATATTGAGCAGATGAATGAGTAAATGAAGGGACTTCAGAGAAGAGGGGGATGGATCAGCATCATAAATGAATGAGAAATTCAGCAGATGGGAGAGCAGACATGTAACTGAAGACCCAAGGAAGAGAGAAACATTCAGGGGCTATTCAAAGCCATCTCTAACAATGCCAGGCAGATGGGCCATGGCAGCTTGTGGAGTGTGGGGAGTCAGTGTCTCTGTTGCTCTGACTGTGTTGCGTACTGGTTACTCCTCCTGTGGCCACAAATCCTGTTTAGCATGTTGAGTGTGTGGACTCTTTCCTTCTCCTCTGCTTTTCTCCCTAAGATCTGTCCCCTGGATCCAGGTCCTTTTCTCCATCTTTCTTCCTCCATCTTCCTTGGGTTCAATTCCAGCCATGTGCATAGCTTCCTTCCTGGGCAGGCAGCACCTGAAGTCGAGACTTGGTATGATTCAAACATATCCAGTCTGTCCTGTGTATGTGCCCTGTGGACTGTAGCAATGCAACAACTGTATCTTTGAGCCTGAGGATTTTTGTAGTAGAGGCTGCTGTGCCTGTGTGTACAATAAACAGAACATGGATGGTAGCTGATGCTCCTTGAAGCATTTCCCACCATGATAGTACAGAAGCAGGCCAGTGCATGATCCTTGAGGTGACTTGTAGATGCATAGCAGACCCTGGCTCCTAGGATACAGTGTGATAGAATGTGATAGCCTGCTGGGTAACTAGCTGCATGCTTTAGTGACTTCTGCACCATTTTGCCCACCAGGCAACTCCAGATAAACTTCTGAGACTTTTGGAGGAAACCACAGCAGACAGAGCCATTCAATCTGTTCTTGCTGATTGGATATATGACAGGCAATGATTACTCAAGGGTGTTGTCACTGCCACAGTTTTTTTGTCCAACTCACAAGATGAAGGTGACTTTACTGTTCCCCTTTGATAGCTCAGATGCTTTGAAGTGCATGTTTGTAGCTGAGCCGCTCTGCCCAGGGTGGGAAAACACTGCAGAATTTGAATTAGGTGTTTCCACTTTGTGCTTTGGTGATCCCCAGTGGTGCTCTCAGACAGTCCATTATCCATTTCTACCAGGGGAGTGTGACTATTCAGTTCTATGTAGGGCATCTTCCTTTGAAGTCCCTTTTCAAAGCCCATTCTTACCTGGCTGCTTTGTCTACATTTGGCTTTGTGAAGCACATGCCTCTAGAACAGCGTTTCCCAAGTAATTCATTATTTGATGTGTATGCCCATGATGGGAGCATTTATGATAATGGTGACATTGATAACATCAAGGGCAGCAGCCAGCACCACTTACTAAGAGCCCACACATTACCTCCCTTAACTAACATGGCAGGTGAGATGCACGTTGTACTTGCACAGTTGGGAAATCTGTGTGATGCACAGTGATTACCCTAGGGTTCAGGGGATGGCTGCTTCTGCATTCTATTCCAAGCTGAGCACTCCACTCTGAAGGGATCACAACCATTTACTGCCCATGCAAGCACATGAGCCTTTTGAAATCAGGACCTGTCTCTCTGTGTGTACTTGTCTATGTCCTCAGGGTATAGGGAAGTGTCTCTGGCACGTAGAAGGGATTTCATGTATTTTGAATGGGTGATGGATAGACAGATAAATAAAATGAGAGAAAGAAAGAAGCTTAAAGTTAAGTGTGAAAACATGAAAGAGTGGAAGGAGATTGGATGGATGGACAAAACATAAAAAGATGGATGTGTTGAGAGACAAGGAGGAAAGGGGGAACAGGGCAGAAGACGAAGGGACAGAAGACTCTTGCACAAGGTGTAAGTCAGAGGAGTCTGCAGCTTTCCCGCCCTGCAGACTGAAGTGCAATATGTTTTTTTCCTCTTTCTTTTCTGAGGGATTCAGAAGGTGTGATATGTTTCTGCATGCATGTGCATGTGCTTGTATGTATTCTGGATCTGGATCATGTCTACATGTGTGTGATTATTTATGTCACTGTGCAGAACTTCGAACAAGTGGCTTAATCTGTGATATATGAGGAAGAGCCCTCTGAGAGTTGCTTTGGGTGCTTGGATAGCTGTGAAATTCTCTGTTGTAAATCTTCTTCCCTCCATTCACAGCCAGTGGAGTCCTGACACCTTCCCTGCCCTCTATGATCTCCCAGTGATGAACCACAGTGTAGGATAAGGGTCTGGGGGATGTCAACACAGACAGTAGCTTCCTGTGTATGCAGCTTTGGGTGCATAGATATCCTACTTCCTCTCCAATGTACTTTAATAAGTACCAGCTTCAAGAAAGTATCCCAGCTACATTGTGGCTGAAGAGGGAGTTACAGAGAGATTATCCTCCAATTTGCCAATTTCATTATAATTAAGAAGTCAAAGATGTCTTTTAAGAAGGCAGCTCTCAAAGTGTTTACCTCTATGCATTTTCTTAAATATCTGTCACAATTTAGGGCTCATTCAGCCTGGAAAAGTGAGAATAATGACAGAATAGACAGGAAATATTGAGACATTATATTTTAGATCAACCTTCTGCCTGCTAGACAGATGGCTGCAGATCCAATTTCTGATTTCCTTTGGACCTCAGTTTCCCCGTCTGTACAACAGGGCATCTGAAGATTGTTCTTGAGAGCCCTCAGTTCTAATGACTTCTCTGCCGGTTCTTGGTCCCTGTAAGTGCTATACAACTTACCTGCAGAGTGGCCTAGGTCTCCCTTTGTGTGGTCAGCTGGGTGGTGATGAGGCATCAGGAAGCCTGAAACACTTCGAATTAAAGGACTGCTGCTCTATGTCAGGCTGTCTGGCCTCAGAGTCGGTTTACTGCTTTGGTCACTCAGCCTCCACTGCTGCTCTGAATATCAGGGTCTGTGACAGCTACAATACACTTTACCCTTGGCATACAAGGCCTTGGACCAGAGCTGGCTGGTTTCCTCTGAGATGAACTCTTGAGTTTGTTTGTTTTTGTTGTTGTTGTTGTTTTAGGTAATTCGATACCCACCCTCTGTGAGGGGTGCAGTAAAGGACTGCTGAAGTGCAGCTCCACTAGGGGGAGATTTTTATTAAGGATAAGAGAGAGAAAACATCTGAAGGCATCAGGAAGGGCCCAGAGCAGAAAGAGAGAGAGAGAGAGAGAGAGAGAGAGAGAGAGAGAGAGAGAGAGAGAGAGAGAGA